AATAATTCTCAGAACAGCTGTAATGGATATGTTGAGTCAAGTCAATAAAAATGACCAATAATGTAATAGGTTTAGCTTGAGATGAAACCATGCCACATCATCAAAGACATGCATCAGATAGATGAGAGCAAGAAAAGAGTTACATGTGAACTTACTGTTTGCTGTTTGTATTAACATTACCAAGAATATGTATGTAGCAGTGAAGTAAGAGAAGAAAAGGCATTCATTAGATATAAAGCTACCTTTGAAAAGAAACTCAGACCTTACTAAGTTGAGACGTACTAATCATAGGAATTCCCAATAAGAGGAGTGTCATTTAAAAAAATGACAGAACAAGCTCATATGATAGAAAAATTAAACATGTGAATTCAGATGCAATTTAACACAGTATGTGAATTGTGTTTACATGTAACATAATATTAACCAATAGGATACAAACAAGAAATTGAAAGAATTGAATTTTTCTCTGGGATCTTTCTCAGCGACAGTTTTGGCTCAACTATATTATTTTAACATCCTATTTACTGAAGTGAGCACTGTATGTGTCTGTATCATACCCCACTACTTAACAAACACCCTACCCTGTAGAGTGTTAAAATCATTTCATAAATATCACACTAAATCTTTTTTTGTAATTTATAAAGTTATTATATAAATACTGAAGACATCTTTTAATCACATATGGCATGATGATTTGAATTACAGTAGAACTCAATAAAGTAAGAAGAGCACTGGCATAGAAGCCTGCAATATAAAACACCCACTTTATAAGGCATGCCTGTAAAGTCTACATGGAACTGAGAAAGTAGAGACACAACAATTATTAATTATCTCATGCACAAATTTAAGGTGGATTATAAACACAAATCAAACTACCTGAAAGAAACAGACATAATTATATTCAAATATTATGCATTGAATACAAGAAACAAAATATAATTTTTACTTTTATTGTGTTAAATACAATATAAAGTGAAGAACTTAAATAAAAGTTGACACAAAAAGGTTTGGTTAGCTGGGAAAGGAGAAATAATAAAGTTAGTAGGTGGGAAGCAAAACAAAGTGCAAACCAGTGGGTTGAGATAGGATTTAAGGTACATGTACACATGTATTTGCTCTATTTGAAGCGCATATAACAGTTCTATACGATATTCTGATATATATTATGATATACATAAGTGCATCCGCTACTAATAGAGCAAATACTATATAGATATCAAAGGTTTACAGGTGCATGTGTCTCACATCCTAGAAAGAATAGAAAACTAATTTATATCTTGATCTACATAAATCATGAAAGTAAGAATTTATCCTTGCATGCAGTGAGTCGGAATACATGCAAGTGTAGAGAAAACAAGGATTTGTTTTCCACCTACGTTTTTGCGCGCTCTGATGGCGCAGTCCTCTAGTATTTCAGCAGCTTCATATTTACCCTGACGCCGATACAATGCACCTAGGTTCTTCAAAGTAGTAGTAACAGTGGGACTGTAACACAAATCATTGTTATCATGTCAGAAAAAACAATCATAATGATTCTTTTTAAAAAAAAAAAAACTAAAGAAAAGACCTACATTAACACGTGCCTCCTTGGAATAGCGTTCCAACAGGCCTGCAGCCTCGTATTTGCCCTGTCGTCGGTATAAAGCACCGAGGTTCTTCAGAGTAGATGCTACTGTGGGACTGTAAAGACAGAAACTAGTCATGCAATACGTGTGCATGTGCACCTGCCAGTTTGAATTACTCACCCAATGAGATGTATGAGCCACTATACACACTATTATATGCTAATTATATGCAAATTACAACTATCACCAACCAATGAACAGCCTGAATATGATACCACGAAGAATGCCCACACATTGAACAATTGAAATAAACATCAACTAATTATATTACCATAGGCTATAACAACCAGTTCATGCACATTCTTAATTTTTAATAACAGTCTGGGGGGCATCAGTGGTATTTTGTGGCAAGTTTAATAACTGAAATGGCAGTCCGGGCTCAATTAATCTCTCAAATCCAACAATGAAATGACATAATCCTAGTATGGGGGCTCAAACAGAGGCATGGATTTCATAACATGCAATGAACTAGAATACGAGTGGAAGTCTACATCACTACATCATTGGGGGGGGGGGGTTGTGTGTAAGCAGATATCACTGGTTTGGGCTCTTGTGTTACTCTCACAATAAGAAGAGATTCATGCATATTTGATACAAGGCAGTAGAGGACAATATTATCAATCAAAGCATCAAACAATTTGTATTACGCACCAGACGTTGTGCAGAGTAATATGTCAATATTTGTCAGGATGGGTGGGGCTTAATTGGTAAGGGTGTGGGTGGGGCTTATTTGGTAAGGGTGTGGTCAGTGAACATCTAGTGTTAGTTAATTTTGTATTACCTGTCAACCTTAGCCGCTTTGTGCCAGCCCCCATATTCACCATATGGTGCATTGTCCTTTCCTTTTCCCTGCAGATAAAACAAAACAAAGCAAATTATATATCTTTTTAATTTTCAGATTATTAATATTCATGTATATGATACAAATGTTGAGATGTATCTTCAAGTATGTGGAACGTGGGTTCAGTCTTTTGATCCATTTCTAACCAAAATTCAAAAGATGTTTTTTATGCACATTATTAAAATGCATCATAGGGTTTCCCTCATTCATCAAAATCAAAAATAGCTACTTCAATAACATTTTACAGGGCCATACCACCATGTAGTGACCCATATAGTGATGACAGTGGAAATGTGCTCAATACATTGTTAACATTACTAATCAGTATCATACAACTGTCATTGATAGTATTGTCACCAGTAACATAAACCTTGAACTGTTGATGTGGTAATATCATAAAAACACTCTAATCCTACATAATCACATACAATATAAGTCTATCAATATGATTGTAACTTACATGTACATGTAATAGCTAACATTACAAACGCGTGTTCACAACTTTTCCAGTCTTTCATAAAACATTTCAGTTCTAGATTACACACTGTCCATGAAACTTGATATTACATTTTAATATGTTCAAGACGTAATACTGAATATTTCAGTAAGCAGACATAGATGAATAATATTTTATTATCTAATTACACACACAGACTTGTGTCAATCCAATTATTATTTAACTGTCTACTGGTACAGCATTGTATATGTACTAGCTTGATAGATGTCTACTCGGCTGTAAAATATGACCTGATGTCATTCTAATTTTAATATAAGATAATTAAATTTTGAGACAAAATTTGTCTGCGAGCGATATATGTACAATTTGGCTGTCAACTCAGAGACAGCATGCTAGTAAGATATGTACAGATAAATAAATCTAGTATATTAGAGTTTGGCTGCATATTATTGCCTCACTGGAAGATTTTAGTACTTCAGTCTCAAACTACACATGATCACATATCCTGAATTGAATGAAGCAATGTACATAACATTCAATAAAATTACTATTCATAGACATGAAGTATCAGTCCACACTGATCAATTGATAAAACTTATTGTGAATCACTGATATTGGAGAATAGAGAAATATAGCAGCTTTCAAACAAACATGGGCATGGCAGACAAAAACAAGCAAACAATAAAAAAGGGTGGTATTGACAAAGTCATAACATATTGATTTTCAGTTTCTTAGTGTAATACATTAACCTTTTAATATGGAAATAAGCATGAATGTTAAAATAAGCATCATGACATGCAGCAAAAACATACTCACTTTTTGTGCAGGTTTGGATGACTGCTACACACACAGGATATATATGACAAAGGATGAATGGGGAGGAAAAAATATGGAAAAATAATAATGAACAAAAAGCAAAGCAAGCAAGCAATTATGGGGTATTACACATAGCATTCAGTAACACAGCCACCATTACTGAAAACAAACATTGACATGCACATATAAAGCATATTATTGATGTTAATAATGAACAGGAATATTGTGCTATATGGAATCAGACATTACTAATGTAAATTAGTACATTAGACACAATAGCGTTCACAGTACAGGATTTACTGTACTAACACATGAAGATGTTATGTTCAGACATAGGCTCTCACATGAGATCCCAATCTATTTCAATCAATGGCTGAGTAAGCCTATAAATGAGGAAATCAGGCAGTCCAGACACATCAATTGAATGCATCTACACACCATCTGAGGCCTCTTAGTCTACAGACAAACATGACTTTTAGATTGAATTTATGTGTTCAAAACAATATGAAACATCTCTCTTTCAATCATGGTCTCCCAGATTTCTTAATATATTTAATATATGTCAATGAATTTTTCAAATTATTTTTGTGTGTTCTTTTTTTCTATTGTGCATTATACTAAGGCCATGTATTGGTTTACACTCAAGACACAACATTAAATATGTCAACAACTACTTAATGTTGAATATATTAGATGCATATAAACCATGTATAAAAAGATTCATACATAATTATATTAATCTGAAGATTTGAACATTAATTATTAAATATCCTCAATGTTTTTACAACCTAGCTTGAACTGTATATAATTTATTATTTAAAACATGCCACTTGACTATTCAGTCTATTTACTCAAGATCCAATGGAGCTAATGGGAAATGAAACAATAATTACTTAAATAGCAGCAGCAATTATTTACCCATTCTCTAATAAATATCAACTAAACTGGATGCCTTTTATATTAAAATGTATGTCATTAAAATTAATGCTATAATGTCAACCCTGGGTCATGGCACTGATGTCTAATTGATTTCAATCAACCAAATATAGTAATCAATTTATTAGATGTTAATATTCACAAATGACAAAAACTTGCTTTTAAATAAATATTTATTAAATTATTATCATCACAATCATAATTCTATTGATGTAAAATAATTCCTGACATACAAGTCAAACAGAAAAAGGTAAAGCCCAGATTAATGCAGCACCCAAATCACATTCAGCAACAATTCAACATTGTCAAATTTTTCTTAAAATTGAAATATATATGTATTTTTTATCATCAATTTCAATATATATCTCATTTTCAATGTAATCTCCTCCCACTATCAATGCTCCTCACATGTACAATTTTTATTTTTTACTGACAGCCCACATGTATTTTACATAGATATTTATTTAGCTCATAAAGCTTTTATTATCCTCTACAATAAGGGCAGTATTGTCTATCAGTAGCATCCATGCATTCTATCATTATAATAAACAACTATACACAATAAGATACAAATAAGTATGCCCAGAATTGAATTTCATTATTTGATTTATGAATGCATAGTTGTTGTGATCTTTCTTTATTGGACAGGAATTCCCCAAAACCAATGAATTGTGCAGTAGAGTATATCTCATCATATTTCCATACACTGCAGTGTACTGCAGCAAGCTGAGAGGCCCTACAATAAGGTGTTTTCTCAAATTTCATTTGTATTTTTATTCATTCTTTTTCAAAACTATATCATCCCAAATCATTCCTTGAATTTCAGAACACTGATGTCATGAAAGTAAAATACTAATACAAATTGAAATAGAATTATTTTCCTCTTCAAAAATGTAGCTGTTTCATAGTTGATTGAATGTCTGAACAGACTCATTTGCTACTGGTCTGCAGTATTAAGTACATTCACAATAAAATTGAGAGATTTTTTATTTGACTTAATTAGATTTTAATGATTATCTCAAACTAATCAATCACTTTTAGAAAATTTTAAGTTTGGATTATCACAAATAAGATGCATCTATGACATGGTAATAAAAGCAGTCTGAACAGCTGATTTGGATGTATCAACCTAGTGACCGTGCATGCACATTAAAATATGCCCAGTAATACAATACATCTTAAAAATACAGATATGCAACTCGTATACTCAAGTGTCAAGTCTGAAATTTGCCCATGTCAAATAGATGTAGATGCTGCAGACTTTTTTTACAAATATGTTTGATTTGAGAACAAACTCTAAAATGATTAGTCCTAATCATCTGACCAGTGAATATTTTTGGTGTCAAATCATTTGGCAGTGTTTCTTCTAAAGCCATATTTTAACAAAATTTTCTTGAAATAACATTTCTCAGTACCAAATATATTATTAAATTCATAATTATTAATGCAATTATTTGATTTGAACAGAGATATTGGTCACATACAGTTTCCATGATATGAATTGATTGAGTTTGAGTGAGTCATTCAATGGTACAGAGGTCAACACAACTGAATAAAACAATGTACATTAAAAAAAGCATACAGACAATACCGGTAATGTAAAATAAATTGTTACATCATTATTGTATGCTCAGTTGCGTAAATGAACTATAGGAGATTTTTATTTTGCTGATTTTTTTTTACATCAAACAAAACAATTTAATCTCACCTTTCCTTCTTCCCTTTCCTCTGCTTGCATCCAGATAGGTTTTTCATCTCCACTTCCAAATTCTCTTTCATGGGCTCTTGTCAGTACCTGTTTATAGAGTGTTTCTGCTGCTTTGTACTTGCCCTGTTTTAGATATGCAGACGCCAGGTTGTTCTTTGTTTTGGCGACATTAGGATCATCAGGTCCAAGTTTAGATTGGTAAATTTCTAGTGCTCTTTGGTAGTACCATTCAACCTATGGAGAGAACAAATTACATTGTTATTACAAGAAATAAACATAACACTACAACTAAACTAAGGTTCAAATGTACCGTAAAATCTGTTTTTGAAGCTGCATCCAAATAGAAATCGCACCTATTCTTTTTAGAATTGAGAACCAAAAATTCAATTATCTCATATGTGCAAATGCTCTAATAGAAGCCGCATCCTATATGTTGCATTGTACCATTTTAATAGAAGTCACAGCTTATAATACAGATTTTACAGTAAAATGGTTGAGCTGGCTAATTAATGTGTTTGATTTTTATTATTCCATGTGAAAGTTGTGACTGAAAAACCTTTTAACCTTGTAATATTTTGATAGGGCGATTTAGGATCAATGCAAAGTGATAAATTGACTAAAGTGAAGCAGACGAGTATATGATTAAGTAATATAACATTGATGTAAAAGAGCATATACCATAGTAAAAAAGACTCGGTCCAAAATATGAATTTTTAAATCTGCAGTGTACTATAGAAGTAGAAATATTTCATTTTAGTGGATTGATATAGCATGCACTTCACTAAGTTCTAATTTAGTGTACATAAATAAGCAAAAATAACCTCTTCTCATAACTCAGCTGAATTCAGCAGTATGACATAATCTGGCAGGAAATAATTCAAAGCACAATCATTTTTACCTCTTCATATTTGCCTTGGTTCTGACACAGGAGAGCCAAGTTGTTCAGTTGCTTAGCAACATCTGGATGTTCTTTACCAAGCACCTGAAATGATATAAAACAGTTTATACAACAGGATACACTTAACTATAAGACAGTATGGACAATTAATTTGTGATAATATGTCACAGTGAATGCAAGTAAGTGTAAATCCTATATATTTTTTTTACCTTTCCTCCACTCTGAACAGATTAGCTTTTTAATGTGTAGAATATGTGTATGCATCAGCTATCGAGTTCAAAGCAATTTCATTAAGTTACCAGCTCTATACTGAAAACTCTAGAATGATATATTTATTTAATGAAGGTTTAATGGAAGAAAGTCTATTTACAGTCTCCAGCATGATTATAGTTAGTCATCCCATCCCATAATATGCTACTCCTTATCTGTTAAAGCATTGACAATTTAGCATCACATGAGTTTTGCGTCCATTCTGGCTTGACATTAAATTATCTGACTCTATGTATTCTGTGAGCCTGGCAAGGAGGCAATTTTTGAAACGGCTGAGTGGCTGAGTCACCAAGCACAAAAATCAAACACATAATCTCCCTACTGTGGGAGAGACGACAAAGCAACCATTACAGGTGGAATGAAAAAATGATAAAGAGAAAGTAGCTGCTTGCCTTTTCTCTGATCTCTAGAGCTCTCTTGCACAGAGGCTCAGCCTCCTTGTATTTACCACGTTTGCCATATAAAACAGCTAAATTATTAAGTGTGGCTGCGACCTGAGGGAAAAACACACATGTTCTGTATAAGTACACGGTAGGAAAACAATTTTACATTTTCTAGCACTTTGCTTGTTTGAGATATTATTCAACTATACAATTTTTGTTTTCCTCAAGATTCTCTGCAGATTTAACATGCATTTGAATTTGTACTAAATACACATATTTTAAGATGGAAGAATAAAACATAAAAATGATCAAATTTTTCATTCAGTTCAATAAGTAGATGTAATCTTTAAAAAAGCAGCCTGGTGGCTGAGATAGCTCCGCTGTTAGCAATGCACATTTCAATTAAAGAACAGAAGATATCATTAGAAAATGAACAATATTCAAAATTCAAAAATATAATTTTTCACCATAAATGATTGTGGTTTTTAACAAGAAAATATAAATTTTTACCAAAAATGACAAAAATATTCATCAAAATTTGAGAATTGAAGATATCATCATGAAATGAACAAATTTGAGAGTGGTTCACATGTAGTACCTATATATGTAATATCAAAGCAATTGGACTTGTGGTTTTTAACAAGAAGTCGAAAATATAACTTTTTACCAAAAATGACAAAAATATTCACCACAATTAGAAAATTAAAATTATCATTACAAAATGAGCAAATCTGAGAGAAGTCCACATGTAGTACCTATATATGTAATATCAAAGCAATTGGACTTGCAGTTTTTAACAAGAAAATGAAAATATCACTTTTTACCAAAAATGACAAAAATATTCACCAAAATTAGAAAATTAAAGATATCATCATGAAATGAACAAATTTGAGAGTGGTCCACATGTAGTACCTATATATGTAATATCAAAGCAATTGGACTTGTCGTTTTTAACAAGAAGTTGAAAATATCACTTTTTACCAAAAATATTCACCAAAATCAGAAAATTAAAGATATCATTACAAAATGAACAAATCTGAGAGAGGTCTACCCAAGGTACATACCGGTATACACCAAGTATCAAAGCATTCAGGCTTGTAGTTTTCAAGAAGAAGTCGAAAAAGTAAAACATTGACACGGATGCCGGACGACTGACGACGACGACGGACAATCACTCATATGATAAGCTCCGCTCGACAAAGTCGACAGCGGAGCTAAAAATACACAATGAAAAGTGCACACCACAGAACACTAAATAGGTACACAAGTATTTTGAGGAATAATTTCCTATACTTACAGCAGGATGATCAGGACCTAATGTCTTCTCCCTAATAGCGAGTGCATCCTGCAAAAGATTAGCAGCTTCTTTGTATTTATTCTGGTCCCTAGAAACAAATAATGAACAAGAAACCTTATTTTATTACATCCTATATATTATCTATGATGTATTGCGAGATTAATACAACCTGGAATGCTACTACATGTACAAAACTGTGCAGCAGGAAATTGATTTGCTAATCTTGCCTCCAGCAATACAGTTGTGTACCTAATTTTCCACATATACTGATTACCTTAAAGTTAAAGGCATATGAAGGGTTTTTGAAAGTGACCATAACAACTGAGAAGTCTAGCTTCTCTAAACACCTCACGTTAGAATGTTTTTTAATTTTATGGCACTAAAAAAAACTAAAGTAAACATTTGGGACAATAAGTTTTATAAAAGATTTAAAGCTACAACTAGTATAATAAATAAGTTCAACTGTAGGAGGAGTATCTTGTGACCCGGCTAGCGCAATGCTAAGAATTTTTCACTCCTCTCATGCAACTATAAAGAGTTAACTAATCAGAATGCCATTGATGTTTGGAAACTAAACATTTATTAAATAATGCTTTCAGATACAGGCAGTAACATTATTTTGATCAACAACCACTGAGACACACTTCACCAAGGTTTTAAACTGACCTGTGCGAAGACAAGAAGCAAAACCTTATATATTTTTGTTAGGGATATGAATGGCACACATTGAAAGTATATAATCCTTCCAGCAATGTGATTCAGCATAAACAGGTAAACACTTACCTATAGACTAAGGCTAAAATATTGAGCATTGTAGCTACATCTGGATGATCGTGACCAGAAGTTTTCTCTAAATCCTCTAAAGCTTGTTTGCACAAAGGAACAGCTACTTCGTATCTTCCTTGTGAAGCATATTGTATAACTAAGTTATGTAATGTACGCAATCTAGCGGGAATCTCGTAACCACCAGTTGCAGCAGCAGCGGCAGCAGCTGCTTGTGGATTGGTTGGCTGTTGTGGTGGATAACCCTCTGATGAAAGAAATTACATGTTGAGATCAATAAATAGAACATCAAATAATGATAAACAAGCCATGAATATCATAGTCGTTATTTATCAAATTTAAGATGTATTGTATGTATTGTTTTGTTTATAGTAATATAGTATGAACACAAACAAGTCAGAGATAGGGATCCAGAAGCTGATGCTTGATTATGTATGTACCAAGTTTGAACAAAATCCATCTGTAAATAGCGAAGATCCAGTTCTGGAATGCCAGAAGGCTTGATTTAGATGATTTTTCAGCACAAAAATGGCCATCATTCGGCCATCTTGAATTACATCATGAAACAATTTGAATTGCATATGTATATTATTATGTATGATGTATGTGTGAAGTATAAATGTAATCAGTCCAGGCATGTCTAAGATCACTGATACATGCATGGACGCACACATGAAGGTCAATCCATAAGTCCCTGTTTATGAACTGGGACCAACAAAATGGTTACCAATCAGCCATCTTTCACCCAACCCATTGTATTGTGTATTCTAACCCATTGTGTATTGATATTTTTGAGTTTGCATGGAATCAGTCTATGATCATGTATGTATCAGAAATAGTGTTGAAAAAATCTGTGATAACTTTAACATATTTTATTTTGTGAAAAATAGTAAAGAAATTTTACCACAAAAGTTTTTGCACTCAAAGGATTAAGGTAACAAATACTTTGGAATTATTTCTAAAAGCCATCAAGAAAAAATATTTACAAGAATATGAATTACATAACATGATAATGTACAGTAGACAAAATTAAGTTAACTTGTCAGGAGAGGATAAAGTGGCATTCCAAGTCTCACTCACCATCTTGTTGCTGATCTTCCTCTTCCTCAGGAAAACCCAAGTCTAAAGGTGTATCTTTTTCTGTTGTACTTTCTTCACTCTGTAACACAACCAAATAGTTTTATTGATATTGTGATGGTAATCACAAAAAACAATCAATTTATTTTCCAACTTTTTATAAAAACAGGTTAATTCACCTGCTAATGTTACTGATGGAAAGATGGCAAAGCCAAGAATTGACTTGAATATGGTGAACATTCCTGTGAAATTTATGCATCTTCAATATCACAGCAAAGCTATTCTCTTATGTGTATCAATTGTGGCACTACGGTGTGCGACACAATTTCATTTATAATGATCGTTTTGTACAAAGCAATTCATGATACAACACAGACAATGTGTACGATGAAATTATATCATGCAAATGAGGAAACACATGCATTGGTCTGTTCATTGGGACAAGTATCACTCCAGGCAAGCTGACCATAAGTCTACCAATAAATTTGGTCTATAATTGTACAAATAATGAAATCACCTGTGCATCTTCAGCTAAGTCTACCAATAAATTTGGTCTATAATTGTACAAATAATGAAATCACCTGTGCATCTGGATCGTCATATTTCTTCATCTGATTCATAAATTCTAAATGCTTATTTTCCTCTTCTAACTGGGCAGCTGACTGTTCACTAGACTGGAGCTTTTGTTGTGTATTAGCAAGTTCATCCCGAAGCCATGCGTTCTCTTGACATAACCGCCTTACTTGGGCCCTAAGTTTCTGTTTCTCGGCTTCCACCATATTTAAATGGTGACCTAATGCCATCATCACCTACAGAGAATAGGATAATATACAGTACAGGTCAGTAACATAAAGTGACAATTGAAAAAATTCAAATCAACCCACCTGCATCCCTAATTAATTATATACCCTATCATGTCAAACTCTGAATTTGATAAATGATTTGACCATATAATATGATATATTCAAGTCAATGCACTGCCAATGGCATATTTATTATATCTATTTGTAATTATAATGAATTACAAATTATTTTACAGCTAAATAAATACCTTCAGCATTGAAATATTATATACTGAATGTAGATGACATTTAATTAATTAATTTCAGGTGACAATACACATCAAAATATTCTGTTAATTTTTTTGTTTAAATTTGCATTAAATATCAATATTACATCTGGATCTAATTCAAATTCAGATTTTCTCACACTAAATACCAGATGAAACAGACCTGTATATATTATTGATGGTAGATATTCAGCTAGTATGACAAATGGGACATATCGTAAATCAACAGGAGGGAAAGGGACTTCAGCAGAAGATGAAATTGAAGTAATGTAAGTAATGTATAAAAGTACTGCCTTAGGGGGTCAGACTCAATAAGCACACACATTAGGTTTGGACAATGGAACACCATACACTATGGTAATTGCTCACAATGTACATTTGATAGCTCTGAGTATTGGACATATTAGAACCTGCTGGCTTTAATAATCATCACATCCATATTGAATTTCCTATAACTGTTACTTCCGGAGTAAAATGTACAAATGAAATAAGAAATAAGCTTTCAATTACACAATTTTAAGAGGGAGAGTACATGAAAACATACAACTCTTTAAAAATATTGTAAGTGATGCAGTGGAATGAAATCAAATAAAATGTTTAACAAATTTCAAATGTAGCAATTCAACTGCATTTAAATTATAATCTATAGGGGAACATGGAAACAACCAACAAGTTTGAACTATAACTTAATTAAAAACCTCAATGGATCTACTAGTGAAAATTAGTCTTAGAAATTAAAGTGGTTTTAACATAACTCTTTGTCCAGCTCTGGAAACAACTGAACATACAAGTAGACCATCTTCCCCGCCATTTTGAAAAATCAGAAATACTTGAGACTTGTTTACTTTCAAAGGTGAAGCGCAACCAATGATGCAGAACAATTATCCAAGTTTCAGAGGCAAGATTCTTTGTTGTAAGTCAGCCAAGGTTCTTTATTCACATAACAAAGCAAACAAAAGAACTGTCAAACTGTACTGTAAATTGAGTAACATAGCCATCTTGCAGTATCAGTAAATCAAATGGCTTGCTCTAAATAATAATCATGACCTGTGTGATATACAGTGTTTGACAGTAAGGCCCTGGGCCTAGAAATTTGCTGTAGGGCCAACAAGTTTCAGAATGTAACAGCCAGCTGGGCTTACTCCTTATCAACATCATCTTATCAATAAAATAATGTTTAAAATGATCAACATTTATAGTCACAGAATTTTTCTTTGAGACATCAAAAATGCATATTATATTAAAAGTCTGTCTTTCATTTTCACAAATAATATTTTTATTTTGAATTTACTAGTATTATATATTTACAATTTGTTGATGTTTAGTGACAAACACTAGTGATAAATATGATCCCTGGACATGAAACTCAAGAAAAGGAAGGCCTCAAAAAACATAATAATTTAAGTTTATAATTATTTATGAAGAATTATCTTTTCTCACATCAAGATAACATCAAACTTTACAAGGTGGTTACTTTTCAACAATGAAAGTAGCTGGGTCATTGAAGGTTAAGCCAGTTTCCCATCAAATGAGTATTTCATATGAAGTTGGATACCAAACAAATTAATCATTGCATGTGACTGGTATAAATTTATTTAGATGAACCAATACTCCACCTATATATCATAATATCAGCTCAATTAAAAGTTTGAAATTAAATTCCTTGTTAATAATCTTGACTAATGTGAAATGTACCAACATTTGTGTGTATTACACTTTTAAATTCGAAAGAAAATGCCTAAGCAGGAATTTATATAAAACAATCCATGGCATGGCATGCATAATCCATGGGAGCACACAGTCACACACTTTGATGCTTACCTGCGCTTCATTGAGGCCCAGTTCAAGACTCTCCAATGACTTCTGTAATAATGAAGTCTTTTCTTCAGTGAGATTGGAGTCTTCATTGTCCTTTTTTACAGCCTTTAATGACTGATAGAGACCATTCAGGATACTATTATGTTCATTTTTTAATTGTTCAAGTCCCTGTATAACCTGCCTGGTACCTGATATGATTTCTTCTTGGTTCACCGACGAGTTATTCGAGGAAGACGAAGACATGTTGGATGTGAATGACCATGGGTTGAATTGTCTGCAAATGAACAAAATGTTGAAAACTATTAAAACATTGCTATCTGTACAGTAAATGAGAGTTCTTCCATGTACTTGTCAGAATTTACCCATAACAACAGGCTGTACCACCTGCAATTGAATTCAGATCTTCTACAACACTGTCGTTGTCTGAATAACATTAAGGCATGAATCACACAATTTTTATGAGTTGTTCACACATAAAAAGGCGATGTTAATCTATGATTTCTACGAAATGCAACCCCTTTGATCTGAAGAGTACAATACAATATGGTTCCGCTTCAAGCCTACATTGTATGAAGGTGTTGCGATAAAGTTGAATACATGGTTTTTGTACAAGGCTAGAATATTTTTCATTACTTTTAACACTAAAAAGCCATCTGAGGACAGTCTCTTAATAGGAAGATTAATGGCAACCTTGAAACACTATTTACGACCAACACATTAAAATCACAGATACTACAAATGTATTTATATGTTCAAACTACAGAAAACAGTCACAATTCTGTCCCTCCCAAAGAGTACCCATTAGTCGTACTACACCACGATAATATTTTATTGTCCAGTGTAGTACGTAGCAGTAAGATAATTATATGATTTGAACCTGCGACATTGCTAATGCATATCACAGCAACCAATTTCTAGATACTGAAAAAACTCTCTGACCTATGTCTAAAATGTGAAATTACTAAACCTAGCAATGGCTATTACCATGGCATGAATATTCAAATTAGCCAGTCCCTTATCATCAAGACAGACAGTAAACATGAGTCATCTTGAACTGAGCTGAACATGCAATCGTAGTTTGATTATGTTCTAATTATTGTTAATCTCACACTTGCTTATCTCTGACACAAAATAGAACCCTCATCAGTTTACTTATCAGCGAGTAAACACGTTTATTGGATTTTAAGTACAACACATAATTTAAGGTAAACATTATCATTTGATTAAAATTGTAAACCATCCTACCTGAAAACCCATTGCGATACAGATGCTTTAATCAATTAGATAAATAATGTGGTTTTTAATTTAATAATATACAAAATTAAAGCAATGAATGAACACACATTTCTAATTTGGTATATAAAAGAAGGTAAATGTTTACCGGAATGTTAAAAACAGAACTGAGTTTGACCATAGACATATTGTTGACGATGAGACAATTTATACTATATTGCGGATGTGTGTAACAACAGTAGACTGTTTTTTAGAATAAGATGATAAAGATATTCATTACATGTAAGAGCAGCTTCATTAACAATTTCATTGTTTATCAAGCTACCAGTACATCATGTGTTAGTAATATATTAAGGCTTGTAATTTTCTAGAAGAAGTTAAGTAAAAAAATTTACACGAACAACAATGACTGACAATCACTGGTATGATAAGCTCTGTTCGACAAAGTCAACAGGGGAGCTAAAAATAGTGAGCAAGGAGGATTATAAATTACAGCAGACTGAACTACTCGTACACAGAAACAATTGGATCAAGTATTTGCATTTACCATTTAAAATGAAAGGAATAGCACACCTAGTATTGTCAGAGTGGGCAATATTTACATTCAGTCATTGGCTGCTCAAACACTGCCATGGATCCTGATAGCAAAATGAAGTGGATGTGTGGCAAATTAATGTGCACTATTTTGGACAAATGAGTAATTACAAGAACCCTGATTTATCTGTAAAATCTTGATTATACTACAAATAGTCATGTACTGGAAATTGGTTATTGCTGGTGTATGCATGCACATTCTGTGTATTCTGTCTTGCACGTCCACCTGTTTTATTATAGCATGATCCATGGCAGTGTTCTTAAGCAACCAACAATCAAGTGTAAATAACACCGACTCTGATGCTGTCATGAATCCAGGGATAGATTTACTACAAGACAATAAAATAATGACAGGGTAAAAAAAGCAAGAAAAGTCATATGATGCAGCATGCAAAGCAAACCTCAACATTCATGCAACAATGATCTAAAAAGGTGAGAAGCATACAAAATCAGTGGGGAGTGTTCTAATCTATCATATATTATTCACCGAGTTGGTGAACAGGCAAAATATAATTCAAACACATCATTGAAATGTATACTTAATAATTTCAGGGCACTGCTATTTTAATATGACCATGTTTTTTAGAGTGTTATATTTATAACTACATGAACAACCTTGAAATACCAGGTTCATGCCCCCTTCTTTAGTTCACATATCACCTACACAGTATACACACATCAGAGTTTCTATGAACCAGGCATGGTGATTGTTGTGCCTGGATATAAAAAGGTTCTATTAGAAGCATTTATTGAAATGCTGGATCATTAAAATACAACTTATTTTGATCATAGACATACCTCATTTAGTTAGTAGTAGTTGGTAATATATTTGCATGTTTGTATTAAACAGAAATAATATACATGTACATGTAAATGCAATGAAATTGAACATGACAATCATCAACAAGCAGCCTCTTGGTTGAGATAGCTCCACTGTTAGCAATGCATATTATCACAAAATGAACAAATCTGAGAGAGATCAACCCGAGGTACTGTAACTATGGTACATGTATAATATCAAAGCAATAAGACTTGAGGTTTTTAACAAAAATATCACTTTTACCAAAAATGACAAAAAATATTTATCAAAATTAGAGAATTGAAGATATCATCATGAAATGAACAAAGTCAACAGCGGAGCTAAAAAGGCTAGAAAGGTATTTGGGTTAGACACATTTCCAGTTTTCACTGGCATTCCATCAAAATACATCCATTCACTATCATGGCTCATATGACACTTAGAACTATAGTGAGTACCTCAAGGATAATGTACAGTATACTCTCGTCTTCTATTAAGATTTCCTGTTTGATACATTGGAATAATTGTGAGTAAAATCTTATTGTTTATTTAGTCCAAATGGAAATAACAGAGTACCCAAGGCAAAATGCAATCTGCTAACATGCATGATGAACTTAAACATGTCAAGATACAATCAAAATGGATCAGAAAATCAACTTGAGGACTGGGAACTTGTACAGAAAGATAATATCTCATATTTTCACTAACCACATGATAAATAATTCATGCAGTATCTCAGGGAGTAGAAAGGCTTGTGTGCCTTGGGAGGACAAAATCCAGAACATTTCATCCAGACATTGGATCAAAGACGAATTTTATACCAAAGTTACATACTGTACATTTATGCCATTTCATTCATTCCTGTATACAGCAGTGAAGTAGCATTACTCAACAAAAGGAATGTTTGCATGATAACATCTCAATTTATCATGTATAGCTTCAGCATGTATGCATAAGTGTATAGACAACTGGCATAACAACAAACCCCTAAAACGGTTAGTCTTGTACAAAAAATCTACCTATCATTATGTTAGACCAATCTGACGTACTGACACATCCACCTGCACTGTCACGGGCCACTGCTTCATACAAGAATTCTACACTGTGTCATCGCTCTGCACTAAAACAATGAAAAATCAAGTTTTTTTTTTTACATTCACAGCAAGCCAACTTGCCCCTCCCTACAATAATGATTGCCATAATAGGAGGTGCCTGTGATGATTGACAATATGTAGACATAATGTCAACATTACCCTGTGATCCCACAGTTTAGGGTCATTGAATACATGATAAGATGCCATTGATGAATATGACCTGCTCAAGCTATTCAATAATAATACACTTTAACCGAATATACCTTAACATGTACATTAATTGAAGAGTATTCTTAGAATCGCAATATTACGTTTTAACTATCATTCTGTGTAACCAGTAGCTAATTAAATATTTAATTGTGGCTTTATAATACCATATTTTTCAGTCATAAAAACAATATTTCTATACCAGATACACAATTCCTATTTTCCGAAGTTAGCATAATATAATTTTGAGGCTTACTAGGGTACCGGTATTTATCAGTTACATGTATATATGTATTCTATGATTTGACATCTTACTTACAAAGGAAACTGTTGAATTGGTTGCACATGGCTGATATAGGATGGTGTGTACCTGCACAAATGAAATGTAAGATCTTTTAATAAACAATTTGAACATGACAGAAATACCATCCCTTTTTTGATTATTTTTTCCATATTATGTTTTAACCTTTTCACCATCATTCCTTCTTTTCATCAGAAATTTACAAAATAGTCCTGTTTATAGGCTGCACTTTCCTTCAGACGATTGAAGAATATGAGAAAAAAGTACTGAAAAATTGGGTGGTGAAAATGTTAAAAAAAATGTCTTTCCATTTGGTTCAATACTACCTTGTAATAAATAACATAATAATGGTGCAAAACATTGGCAAGAAAAATGATGGCATCTGACTTTATATGATTTAAAATTAGAATTCATTCACTAGATATACATGTACAAGTGCTATAGATATACCATATTTACTATCTCCAAAAATGCACTGAATATTAAAATAAGAGTACAATTGATGTTCCCAGGAGAGAGGTCACATTGGTGCCCAGGAATGTGAATAGATTCATTTGTAAATGACTTCAAGCAAGTAAAAGCATGGTTATATATTGAACTATTTTAAATCATGATACCACAGAAAGTATTAGGAAAGGACAATTGTTAACCCAATGTATTCAAACTCTTTCTTTTTATCACCAACGTGATTTTTCTTTGACACAGTGGATCAGTATTCACATAACTGAACGGAAGTTTATATAAACAGAATGGTTCAAATGACATCACAAGTCAATGTACTGGGACACCCAGAATGCATTATTCCACTATGCAAATCTAGTACTACCATGCCAATAGTGGCCTCAAATAAGATACAGGTACACGTAAACTAAGAGGCCAACAGTAAAGCTTGTCAAACAATCTGCTACTGTGGAATACTTTATTTTCACTGGAATTAATTTTCACTAAAAAGGCTTTTTGGGCGTTTTGTATGTAATTTATTTTCACTGATTTTTGATGAGTTTAATGTGAAATATAGCATAAAAAGTATATTCCAAGCGAAAATA